GAGAATATTCATATACTTATAAATTAGTCACAAGTTCTTAGAAGTTCTAAGGAATTGTAAAAGGTTAAAATGAACAAAAGAGGTATCATCCCAGTTATTTAGAACATCTAAGCAATTTTTGACCAAGGGAGGTCCCTAAGAGAAGCCTCATAGACTTAATCAGATTTTGATCCCATGGCTCAGAATTAACTTGGAAAAGGGATGGTGTCCTATGTGATCAATAATGGACCCAAGACTTTCCACAGAATCAGGGAACTTTTTGAGTACGAAATACTCAGTGTCTGAAACAGAAATCCCTGTATGAATAAAGTCTGTAAGACTCAGAGAGGTAAAGGATTTGAATATAATCATTGCCATATATATCATGAAAATGAATTAGTGATTTAAATTCTTCCCACGATTAAAAGCCTCAACCAAGATGGCCTTGCTCATGAATTGCATTGAATATTTAAGAAGAAATAATAGCAACTCCTCAAAAGTTCTTTCAGAAAATTAGAAAATGGAACATTTCCCAGCTCACTTTCTGAAGCCGGTATTACTCAGATAATAAAATCAGACGTCATAAGGGAAAACATACAAACTATAGACCAATATTCCTCAAAAACAGGAAAAAAGGACCAAATAAGTCACTGGCACTTAAATCCTCTTCTGGTTTTGCTTTCAGGAACCCCATCTAAGATGATAACAATGCTCCAAATTCAAAAAGAACCAAGAAGCAGGGGGAGGGGTTAGGAAGGAAATTCTACAGGTAGGAGAAACTCTTATAAAGGACATTACTGGGGATAATTGGGAATTTGAAAATGTACTGAATATTAGGAAATATGACTGTTTCAGTGTTTAATTTCTCAGCTCTGATAATGATGCTGAGTCCAGCAGGAGAATGTTCTTGTCCTTAGGAGATACACAGTGAAGTGTTTACAGGTGAGGCATCACTAATATCTGTAACTTATTTTCCAAACCATAAGAATAAAACAGAAAAAAAAAGTGCAGAAACTGTTAATAATTTCTGATTCCAGGTGAACAGTGAACTTGTGTTCACTATTGTTGTCTTTTATAAAAATGAAATTCATTAGAGAAGTGCAAAACCCACGGATACCACTATGCACCTATTAGAATGGCTACAATTTTTAAAAATTAAAAACTAGCAAGTACTTCTGACAATATGGAGAAAGTGGAGCTCTCATGCATTCTTGATAAAAGAGCAAAATGGTATAGCAACTTTGGCAAACATTTGGTTGTTTCTCATAGTTAAAAAATGGACTTGCCAAGAGACCCAAAATTTCTTCTAGCTATTTACCAGAGACACAGAAACTTATGTTCACATAAAAACCTATATACATCAATGTTAATAGTGACTTTATTCATAATCACCAAAAACTGGAAACAATGCAATGTCCCTCAACTGGGAAAGAGAGGGATACACTGTGATCCATCCATACCATGGAATATTACTTAGCAATAAAAAAGAAACAAACTATGGATACACACAACAACATGGGTGAATATCCAATATATTATGCTAAGTTAAAAAATCTAGAGTCAAAGGCTATGTATGGTAGAATTCCACTTATAGAACAGTCTGCAAAAGGTAAAGTGTAAGGACAAAAAACAGATTAATAGGTAGACTGGGGATGAAATGAGTTGACAACAAAGACACATGGAAGAACTTTCTAGAAGGATAGAACTGTTCAGTACTTTTTGGTGGTGGTTACATAAATGATATATGCTCAGGACTATAGGCTAAAGGTGGTGAATTTACTGTGTATTTTAATAAAAATTTTATATTAATCTTAAAATATTTAAGTAAATAAACATTATTTGAAAGGTCATGTCCTTCCTCTCTCCAGACCCATCAAATGGAGCCTTACCCAGCATAAACAGCAAAGTCATTGCAATATTCCCAGGCCCTACATCATCTGGCATCCTTTTAGCTCTCTGATCTCATCTGGTACTTCTCTTCTCCTCCCTCCAATTGTTCCAGCCACACTGGCCCCTTTACATTCTGAAACCTATCAAGCATGCTCCTGCCTCAGAGTCTTTGTACCGTGTATTCCCTCTGCCCTTCCCCCAGAAAGCTAAATAACTTACTTGTTTACTCCAATGTCACCCTTAGAGTAAAGTCTTCTTCATAACCCCACCTTATACTGTTTCTCCATGTTACTTTTCACTATCAAACATACTGTATATTATACTTTTAAATTTATTTTGTCCAGTTTCTACAGCACATGAACCCACAACAGTGTTGAACATATAGTAGTACTCACTATTGGTTGAATAAGTGAGATGAGATAGAATGAAAGAGCCATTACTTAACCAATGCTGTGCACTCAGTATCACTTGCATACTTTTTATAACATGCTAAAATCAATCTTACCATAATTATTCAAGAAGTGGACCTTTGTTCTAATTCTACATTTATGAGAAAAAAGCAAATAATGAGGAAAAAGAGTTATTAAGAATGTGTTTGTAAAAACAAGTATCAGGATTTCCTTAGAATAAACACAGATTCATCATTCATTCAATAAACATAAATCACTTAGATCTAATATGAAATAAGCTTTGATCTTTCTCTCTGTGAAGCGTTTGTTCTTACCTCCTTCCAACCACTGAGCCCTCAGATCAGTTCACCTTCAGCTTCCCACCAACCACTCCATGTTTCATGCACAGTCCATTTTATTTGCTTAAAAATAAGCCCCTTTCAGCAAGTAAACTACTTGATGGCAGGAATCTGAAGGTTGAGGTAAGTTATGTGTTCTAACTGCCTTGCCTAGCACCAAGCACAAAGAAGTTTAATAAAGATTCATCGAATTAATTATAAATGAGTTGATTTTGAAGTCACAGATTGGAAGGCTTTAGAATTGTGAATCATTAAAGAAATGCTATATTGATTATGCTATCCAGTTGTAGATCCAGGTATAGATATAGAAATAGGCATAGATGTAGATATTTTGAAAAGAGTTTCTCTGACTATCCTGAAACCACAGAATTGATTTTGTTCAGTAACTCAAACACCATCTGATCTATCAAAATGTTAGCAGACTTAATCTTAGGTGTGAGTTTCTCTTTTTAAGGAAACTGAGGAGGAGAAAACATGGGTCAGAATCTTGATTAGAGAAAAGTAGAGCATGAACAGGTAACAGCAAATATATATATATTTTTTACTGTTTACGTGTGTGTGTGTGTGTGTGTGTGTGTGTGTGTGTGTGTGTGTATATGTATATATACATATACATACATACATATATATATATATATATATATATATATATATATATATATGCTGCAGGAATTCTTATGAGAAAGCAATGGCAAGGCTATGGAGAAAACTTCCAAACCAAACCACTTTACACTTGGGACGACTTCACTAGAGTTATCAAAGTTTCTACTTCAACAGAGATAGAATTCAATAAGAAGGTACATATTTCAACTGTTGAAAAGTCAAAAGTCAAGGATAAAAGAAAAAAAGAAATTTGAATCCCAACTGCCTTCATTGTGGTTCAACCTTTACAATGGCTTCCAGAATAGTTTTTCACTTCCACGCTCTTCCCAATAGCCTGTTTAAACTGTTTTCAAATTGATCTTCCTTCTGCAGACTTGTGGTGATGTTTCTCTAATGCTCAAAACCCATAAAAACCAAGCCACATTTCCTGAAGGACTCCATCTGAACATCTTTCGAAACATGACCCTTTTATAATATGGTCTCAATGTGTATTTTCTTCAGCATATTGCACGAGGCTTCTGTGCCTACATAGCACAGGAACCGAACTAGACTATTCATTTATTCTTCAATCACACCCTGTAAGTCCTTCCTCTATTCCTTTGTTCAGTTGACGCCCTCCTCCTGGAGTGTCCACTCCTCACACTACCTTTTATCAACCTTTTTTTTTTTAATTTTTATTTATTTTTTTAATTTCTTTTCAGTGTTCCAGGATTCATTGTTTATGCACCACACCCAGTGCTCCATGCAATACGTGCCCTCCTTAATAACCACCACCAGGCTCACCCAACCTCCCACCCCCAGCCTCTCCAAAACCCTCAGATTGTTGTGAGTCCGCAGTCTCTCATGGTTCGTCTCCCCTTCCAGTTTCCCCCAACTCCTTTCTCCTCTCCATCTCCCAATGTCCTCTGTGTTATTCCTTATGCCCCACAAATAAGTGAAACCATATGATAACTGACTCTCTCTGCTTGACTTATTTCACTCAGCATAATCTCTTCCAGTCCCGTCCATGTTGATACAAAAGTTGGGTATTCATCCTTTCTGATGGAGGCATAATACTCCATTGTATATATGGACCACATCTTCCTTATCCATTCGTCCATTCAAGGGTATCTTGGTTTTATCAACCTTTTGATGGACTAACCATCCAGTTATCTTACACAGCCTTTCACAATCTCCTTTAATCTGCTGGGCTCTCTCTCTCTTCTCTGACCCATCAGGGCACATTACACCTCCATAACAGATCCCAGATTATACCATTGTTTCTTACATATTTTATCTTATTCCTGCCTTTTCCTCCTACCCCTGCCTGGTTTTGTAAAGTCTGACATTAAGCTTTGGTTACTTTTATTTACTATGGGTAATAGCACAGAGCATTTTCTACATTATGTGCTCAGTCAATCTTTCTTGATTTATAAAGTTGACTAAATATCATGAGAGACACTGTGGAATCACAATTGTTGATATGCTCAGAAGCTCAAACCAATCCTCGAGAAGTTTTCCAGAGATCTATTACAGGGATCTGTAAGAAGACAATGGTGCCTTGTTTTCATTCCCAAATCCCTAGAGGCAGGCATCCTACACAACCACTGGAACTTAAACTGAGGGGAATCAAAGAATTCAAAAGGAGAGGGTTAGTTTTTTTGTTGGAAGCTTATGGAATATCAGTTTAAAGGTAGTATTTGAATATTCAAGTGTTCTAATCAAGATATATAAATATTTTATTATTCTACTACTGTACTTTCATTCTCTTAAAGAAATTAAGTCACACAGACTTAACCAAGTTTGTTTTTTAAAAGGAGAAAAGCTAGAATTCAGAGTGCTTCAAAGGTCAATGTTCAGAGGAAATTAGATGACAAGTGCATGGTGCTTTTGTTCTTGATTCTGCTTGTAATTCGTAATTACTATGTAGCTCTACATGCTAGTTCAGAGATAAATAATAATAACTCTGCTGTCTATTTATTCATATTTTATAAATATTTGGAAGGAATTTTACATCTGTATCTGAATATTAAAAATACAATTTTGTCTGAACATACAATATAGTTTTATATGAATCATGCATATAAAATAGTACTATTAGGAAAGCTGTTTCTGTAACATGGTGATTACCTCCTTAAAGGAAAATAGAATTTTAAAACAATAAGGCTGTTTTTAAATTGTGCGTAGAACCAGTAATTGTGTATTTAAGGCAATTAAGATATTTATTGAATCTTGGTTAAAAGTAGATTCACAATGACATTAAAGAATAAAGCATAATTTATTTGGTGCTACTTTGTGAATGCTTCTTTACAAATCATCTCACGACACCATATACAATATACTTTCAATCACAACTCAAAATAACCTACAAAATCACATGACTATAATCAATATACACTGATTATATTTTTAAAAGAAAGTAAGTTAGCAATTAATTAAGTTAAGGTGCAGTAACTTTTTTCAAATAAAATATTAGCACCATACCAGATAAAATGACCTAAAACTATTGGCCTCCTCGTATTTCTTAAATAACTAAATATAAACATTTTTTTCAAAGCACAAATATTAATTTGCAGAATCAGTTCTACAGTAATTAATGTTTCTCTCTTTTGATGCATTTTTCCCCCCAGGAGGGAAAAATACAAAGTAAAAACTTTCACAGGATATGAAAATCAAATAAATCTAACCGAACAAAACGTTGTCCTTCAGCAATGAGTTCCAACAGAAGCAAAAGTGGACATTTCCCTGCGTATGGTACTAAAAGGTGAGAGTTCAAGTTCTGTGGTATATTCGTTGTCATTGTCATCGCTGGTTACTGTTGAAGACTTCTGAATGCACTCGTCACAGCAACAGCAACAGCATTCCATAAAGGCCCGACTGAAGGGTTTGCAAAGACAGAAAAGGAGGACAGGGGTGACACAGGACTTAAAGAACAAAAGGAACTGGCTGATGATATAAAGCAAGTCCATTGTCTGCTGAGAAACCCCTGTGGCCATGTAGGCAGTAACAATGTTGCAGATATTTTCGGGAATAATGCAAAATCCATATAAAATGGTCAGAGCCACTACTGTACAGTTCATCTGGCTTTCCAGCTGAATCTGTCGTTTATTCCCTCGCGTACAGGCTTTCTCTGCTTTGCGGATCTTCCTTGCAGTCACCAAAGAGCAGGTGATGGTGAAAAGTGTGGGCAAACAGAAGTAACAGCCAAAGTACCACCAGAGTCTTGCACTATCATAGGTAAGGGCTAGAACATAGATGGTGTCTGGTAAATCTGCGGAGACCTTGATAACGCAGCGTTCCGCAGGAGCTCGGCCACTAAACCCCAAATCCTCCTTGCTCAGCTGGCGGAGAACAACTTCTGGAAGTGCTAACAGTAGGGCACCAACCCATATAACAGCAAGCTTGGCTGTTGTCGAAGAACAGTTCTCGATCATTTCATAGTACATCTGCACGTTGGTGGCTGCCCGGAACCGGTCTATACACAGAGCACATAAGGTGAAGGTAGTGACTCCAAGGGAAGCAACCTGTGGGAGGAACACGGAACACATTTATTCTGGGTGATCTCTGAAAGATCATAACACGAGGCAGTAAATACAGATCAGCAAAACAGAAAAAAAAAAAAAAAAGAACAATTTCCTGGAATGAGGCATCGGTAATTGGGTTGGTGACTCTACCTGAATTATTATGAAGATAAAAATAGGAGGGGGGAAAAAAAAAGAAATGTAGTGGTCCAAGGGTCATGGAGTCAAAAAATTTTACAGTTGGGAGGACCCATAAGGATCAGCTAGTCCAATACCATTTTATTTTATTTTTATTTTTTTTAAGATTTTATTTATTTATTTGACAGAGATCACAAGTAGGCAGAGAGGCAGGCAGAGAGAGAGGAAGGGAAGCGGGCTCCCCGCTGAACAGAGAGCCCAATGTGGGACTCGATCCCAGGACCCTGGGATCATGACCTGAGCCGAAGGCAGAGGCTTTAACCCACTGAGCCACCCAGATGCCCCCCATTTTATTTTACAAAAGAGCACAGACACTCCTATAATTTCAGTCACCATGAAAATGCCTGCCACCAAAGGTCCAGATAAGGAGTAAGGACAGTTGAGTGTATCCCATTTTCATTACTGAAAAGGCTGGTCATGTTTTCCAGTGTGTGGGTCAATAGCATCCCCCCACACAGGAAACCTTCAAAACCTTATTATTTCCAACAAATCAGATGAGTAAAGATCTCCTCCAATTTCTCTTAAATGCAAAATAAAGTGTTCTGATATTATTTTCAAATGCATGCACTTATGGAAAGCAAAAAAGGGAAATTCTCCAGGAGTCAAAATCAATGAAAAAATAAATGCCAAACAGGTCCTGGACCCCTCCCCCTCCATGTTGCATGCTGGCCCTAAGGACATCTGCCAACCCTGATGAGAGTTTCAAGTTGGTTTTAGTTAGATGATGGGGCAGGTGTCCAAGTACACAAAGGTAGGAAAATAAATCTAGAGCCAGTGTACATGAGGATTAAGTCAAAGATCCCTTTATGAACTGGGAACTTCCCGAATAGTGACATCTTCATGAGTATAAAGAGAAAAAATAGAGGGACATAGTAGAGAAACTTGTCTGCATTATATGATTTGGATCTAGGTGAACTGGAGATAAAAAAAGAAGAGCAAATTCTAACCAGGAGGCCAAATTTACACTGGTCTAAGGCCAGAATTCACACCATCTATGTGGCTCAAAAAAAAAAAAAAAAAAAAAAAAATTATAATTTTAAATTGTCCCAGGCACCTGGTAGAAGAAAACACAAAACCTCTCTGGAAGAATGCACTTTAAAACCAGGTCTCAGAAATCCGCAGACAAAATTTGAGGGAACATGGATTCACAATTAAAAATCACAATATGCAAGAGATAATCCATCACTATAAATTTATGTTGCCAAAAGAAGCAAGTTGCAGGATCAGGCAGGCATAAAATAAGTACATTTATCATGAAATAAATACACTATCAAATTTAAGGTTATATGAGATACTGAAAGAATGTCAAAAGATAGGAGATATAAAAAATAACCATGAAAATATGCAAAAAGGAGCCAGATACAAGGTCTAGATGTACCAGCCATAGGAAAATTTCAGATCAGGAAACTCTTTGATGCTGACCATATAGAGCACTGTATCCAAACTCTTATATGCATATGGCCCAGACAGCTAAATAAATCAACAACTTAAGGTTAAGAACCAAAAATATGTACGTATTTTTTCCACAGAGAATATAATTGCATATTCCTAATGTAAACATACTATCATTCAGTAGCCCATAAAATATTTACAAACATTCTACACAGTCTCTAATGGATACACAGACATGTATTCAACACAAGCATACATTTAATGTTATGGACTCTGGCCCAAGCACTCTGCTAGATACTGGGGATATAGAACAAGAAACAATTATTTCCCTCAAGGAGGTCATAATCAACCAAAAGGGGGAAGGTAGTTCTCAAAGTCACAAGATAAACACAGTAATCATCTGGGAGCATCAAATTTACTCAGCTATTTACAGGAAATTGAAGTAATTTAATGTTTAATAAATGTAGTCATTATATATCTAAATAAAGACAATGAGGGTAGATGGTAAAATGTTCATGAGGTTTAAGATGAAATAGGAGACTAAAACTCTAGATGGAAACGATGTTTTGGGGTGTACCCTAGGCTCTTGTGTATGTGCATTCACTCTCCTCTGTCTGCTGGTGGGAATGTTTAAGAAGCACAGCTACAGGTCATGCCTTGGCAAAGGGGCAAGGAAACATATATATAATGTTCTTGTCTAATTTTTTAGGACTCAAAGGGATCATGCTGAAAAAAGGAAAACCATTTGTCATAACAATTTTGACACTCAACACATTAGTTGTTTATCTCCTACACTCAAGCTGTCACTCTTCCCAGAATGATGGCAACTTGCCTCGTGAATTCTATAAGAGTTCCAATGTCAAATGTTCTCCCCGTTTTTACACTCCAAACATTAGTCAGTGTCTACTGGTTCCACCCCAGAAAATAAGAACATTGCACCCATGCCCTGACTATTCTCATAACTCTTAGTGAAGACAGTCTGAAAATGAGATATAATGAGGGCTTAAGTGAATGAAAAGCAAAACTGAGGAAGAAGCATGACTCACAATCTAGATCAGGGCAGATCAAGACGACATGGTTGAGCTTATAACCATGATTCTTGTACAAAATCTTGAGGAAAGTTTCCCATAAATACCAGTGTAAGAAATATCCATCCAGTGTGACTGCCATAAAAAGTCATCTCTCCATACATCTCTTTATTTTTTTAAGATTTTTATTTATTTATTTGACAGAGAGAGACAGCATGAGTGAGGAGGAGCGACAGAGGGAGAAGGAGAAGCAGACTCCGCACTGAGCAGGGAGCCCTATATAGGGCTCAATCCCAGGACCCTGGAATCATGATCTGAACTGAAGGCAGACCCTTACCTGACTGAACCTCCCAAGCAACCTCTATACAACTTTTTTGAATTAACTTTGAAATTAATGAATTGTTCACCTTGATGGAAATTTATTTTGCCTCTGCCAGAGATTCAAAATAATTCTAAAATTGAGGTCCACACTATGCAGCTGTCTTAAGATCAGATTATTACTTTCTTAATGTCAGTAATTGCCACACTTTGCATGGAAATCTGAGGACTGGCTCTTTTCTAAAGGTCTGCATCAAAAGTATTATTTAGAAATTGCAGTATTTTATGGTTTTTGAAACTTCACATTTATATACTTTTCAAATATTTTGATTCATTCCTCTATAAGAATGTAAAACAAAACCAAAAAATCCTCAAACTATCAAATGTACACAAATCCTCAGCAAGGCTTTCTGTGCCATCTTCACTAATGCAAATCTTCATGCACATCTCTGTATCACCCACGTATCCGGAGTCAGTCCACAAATAACAAAGCTATAGAACTTTATGCCATGCATTCGCTCTTAAAATTATGAATAACATTTCTACTGAAATGACAGTTTGGTAAGACAAAAATACCAGCGAGTCTGATGAGAGACAATCTCCTAGAGGCTTGGTACATCCATTTCTTGGTAGTTTTCGATCATTATTTACAAAGAACACACAACACTCAAGAGATAGCATCTTCTCCCTGATTACTCTCCTTATTTTTAAACACAGAGTTTTAAAATCTGGACCAGGGGCACCTAGGTGGTTCAGTTGGTTAAGTGTCTACCTTTGGCTCAGGTCATGATCCTGGGGTCCTAGGATCTAGCCCACATTGGGCTCTCTGCTAAGGGGGGATTCCGCTTCTCTCTCTGCCCCTCCTCCTTCTCTCTTTCTCTCAAATAAATAATAATGATAATAATAAATAAAATAAAATCTTAGAAAAAAAATCTGGACCAATTATCATAAGAGCTAGCATTTATACACATAACTCCCAGTCTGTTACAAAGCATTTCATGAGAGGGAATAGCCAATGGATGTGGGTGGACATGTATTAAGATGCGTGTGTTTCATTGCCTCTCCTTAGATATTTATAAACTGTGCTGCATATCCACTTTTAATTAGAAGATGTTTGCTGCTTCAAAAAGCAAAAAATGTTTTCTAGGTTCAATATATATTTCATTGCACATGATAACAAAAGCCAGGGCAAATTTTAAGCAAGATTTACATGTGCTCCAACTTTCACTCAGGAATTCTACACTGTACTTTATATGAAGATGCTTAGTTCTTCAGCCATATTCCCAAAAGCTTTTGGACTGAGCACCAAATGTGTTTGAAAAAACATGTTTGATCTATCATCCTCTTGACGCATCATAGATTGAGGGAAGCTTCCCAGGTTTCATACACACATTGCAGGAGGCTCCCGGACCCAGCTTCTTGTTGTCAAATCATACTTCTCTCTGGTGGTGTTCTCCTCAGCTAGGAGCCAGCTGAAGCAGGAAGGTCACAAGAGCTAGGGCCTCTGAGGAAAAATGCTGCCCCAAATGCAGATAACGCTTACTACATTGTTGCCAACAGCAACCGCAGCCCAAAGGCCAGTCCTAGATATCTCCTCCCTCCTGCTGCCACCACCTGCAGTGCTATTACTTCAGATAGTTTTCTGCAAATTCACTTCTGCACATGATTTTATGATGTGAAAGAGCAAGAAAGGTACAAAGCTCCTGCTCAGTACTTTCCCAAATTATTTATAGAAGGCTTTAAACCTTTATAAAGAATCAACCTCAGAAATTAATTGATAAAAATCATCTGGATCTTGGGTGTGGGCTAATTTCTGCTTTTTCTGACATAAAATCTACCCATGCAATTAAAATTGCTAAATGTTGGGGTAACATGAGAAGATTTCAATCACAATTTTTAACTCTATTTGTTTACTTACAGCTCATTGGAAATTCTACCCAGATGAATGGGGCAATTATATGCAATTATAAAACTGTGTCATAAATGCTGGATCTTCTGCATTTAATGACCATATCTAATTGCTAAAATTCAATGTCACTAAGAAATTTGCTCTTGGGAGTAAATCTA